AAAGTTGGTCATTGGCCATATTTGGTCCCTATGGCCTATATGCATGAAAACTGACCAAAATTATTTCTTGATCTATGGCAGATATTTGAGTTCTGTTTTTTCCCACATGTAGAGACTGTCCATTTGGATATTCCCAGCAAGATTCAGCCTTGTAGCTCTGTAACTTTTCAAGCAAAAAATTTATTTGTGTTTGAGCACTTTTTGACTACCACTGTGCAGACCAGAAATTGCTACTTTTCAAACTTACAGATTTTAATTAGTTTTTTTGAGTTTTTTGAACTCCCTGGGGTCCAATTAGTAGGAAAAGACCAAAACATGAGAGAAATTGGCATATTTGGCAAAGTTGGTCATTGGCCAAATTTAGTCCCTATGGCCTATATGCATGAAAACTGACCAAAATTATTTTTGATCTATGGCAGATATTTGAGTTCTGTTTTTTCCCACATGTAGAGATAGTCCATTTGGATATTCCCAGCAAGATTCAGCCTTGTAGCTCTGTAACTTTTCGAGCAAAAAATGTATTTGTGTTTGAGCACTTTTTGACTACCATTGTGCATACCAGAAAATGCTACTTTTCAAACTTACAGATTTTAATTAGTTTTTTTTTAGTTTTTTTTAACTCCCTGGGGTCCAATTAGTAGGAAAAGACCAAAACATGAGAGAAATTGGCATATTTGGCAAATTTGGTCATTGGCCATTTTTGGTCCCTATGGCCTATATGCATGAAAACTGACCAAAATTATTTCTTGATCTATGGCAGATATTTGAGTTCTGTTTTTTCCCACATGTAGAGATAGTCCATTTGGATATTCCCAGCAAGTTTCAGCCTTGTAGCTCTGTAACTTTTCAAGCAAAAAATTTATTTGTGTTTGAGCACTTTTTGACTACCATTGTGCAGACCAGAAATTGCTACTTTTCAAACTTACAGATTTTATTTAGTTTTTTTGAGTTTTTTGAACTCCCTGGGATCCAATTAGTAGGAAAAGACCAAAACATGAGAGAAATTGGCATATTTGGCAAATTTGGTCATTGGCCATTTTTGGTCCCTATGGCCTATATGCATGAAAACTGACCAAAATTATTTCTTGATCTATGGCAGATATTTGAGTTCTGTTTTTTCCCACATGTAGAGATAGTCCATTTGGATATTCCCAGCAAATTTCAGCCTTGTAGCTCTGTAACTTTTCAAGCAAAAAAAT